AGTGACTGATCTTTCAAAACAAAGTTGTTTTTTTTTTTCATTTTAACTTGAGAAGTTTAAGATTCACTTTTTGCCAAACAGCATCTCGTTCAGTCTGTGGTTTGATCTCCCTTTCGGGGTGAGAGGCAGCTGGCTGCGGGGCTGCGCTGCGAGTCCCGCTCGCTCAATCCGCAGCAAATGCTGCCCCTAGTGTTTCAGAGCAGGAAATACCCCAAAACCGTCCCTCGGCTTTCCATGTTTTGTCCAGAAGACTCTGGCGAATGCCACCACCCCTGGACACCACCATCAGTTTTGGATAGGCTGGTTGTCAATTTTCTTAAAAGCAAACTGTTCTTAACATGATCATAACATCCCTTGCGCTTTGTGTTACAGGCATTCTACTAAACATACACAGGATAAAACATTTAATGTATCAGGACCTGAACAATTAATTACTTTTTTTCCCTTCTGTTGACACTGATTTGTGACCTTTTTACATGATACTGTAATCTCACATGAGCTGTCATGCTTGAGCATTTTTTCTGTGTGAATTCCCTACTGTTATTGAAGCTCTGAGTTTCCCAAGCTGGCAGCCCCTTCCAGATCAGCAAAGCACTTATTTGTGCTGGGTTCACAGCCAGACATCCCATTGTGGAAATACCTTTACAAAATGGAACAAAAAGACTGAGCTGAACCTATGTCACCTAAAATCTCGAGTGCATATCTTGTTCATCTCTGTTTAGAAATCATGTATCAAATTGCCTCAAAGTTGTATTAAATCCACAGGAACAGCTTAATATCAATCCTGAGGATGTTACAAACTTGGAGCTTTGAATTTTCAGCCATTTCTATTATTTGCTTTTCAGCAAGGGTTCTCAGCAGTTTTGAAGGCCTACAGTTATACATACATGTATTTCCCAGGGTATTCCCAGCTGGCAGCTATGCTGCTTACCTTGCAAATTGTTTAACTTTGAAGCAGAGTCTGACTGCACTCGAGTCAGTTTTCTTGTCCTTAAATTTTGGGCAGAAGGTGCATGCAACTGCTGCTCTGTTTACACTGTAAGGTAAGCCATTTTGAACACACAATTTTTGTTCTTTTATTTTTTTTTTTTTTAAATAAGAATATACTCCCCAGAGCACTCTAAAGGAACTAGGTTTACAGGTTATTTAATAAACAACAGGGGAAAAAAACTCAAACAACCCCATGCCATCACTTACTATCTAGACAAATAACAAAATTCACATAAACTATTCAGGGAAGTGAAATCACTGAAGTGGTTATTATCAGGTTCTTTCAATATAATTTTGGTAGATCATATTTCTTACATTCTTTTGTCTAATCTCTAAATGCAGATTAGAACTTGGCATTTCTTTCTTCTCAAAGCAGAATCAGAAAGTCAACTTTTTTAAGTCTCTTTTGTGTATGGTGGATATTTCTCTTGGAGTGGTATTATATTTATATGTGTTTGTGTATCACGTGTACACTAGCACACCCACTCTGTTTATCCAGACAGACTTACAGAAGGGTATACCAGAAGTCTTTATTTATCCAAATAAAAGTAAACTAGAGGAGCTAAGCATGGGAATTGCCTGCAATTGCCTGAGGAACTGCTAAAAATAGCTGCTTTTTGGAAACAGGAGAAGCCTTCACTGTTGAAAAAGTAACAGTAACAGCTATCTACTATAGCAAACTACTTTCTTTCCAAAACCTGAAGGACACAGGGACAAAAATCGCTTCTTGTCATACTTCACTGCGAGAACTGGACAGAATGTAGACTAAAAAGGGCCTTCTGTTCCAGAAGTACATCGTGTTGGTAAGCCTAATCCTGTGCATAAATACCTTGTGTGAACTTCATCATTATCACCCTCTCCAGTTACAGAACTTAAACTAGAGCAGATTATCAAAACATTACAGGAACTAAAGTAATTTCCAAGTACGATCATTAATCACCCGCGCCAAGTCTAATCACATACTGAGCTCTCTTCATTGTTCCATTAAGACAGGTACTTTATCTTAATTAGAGCTACTGCTTCAAAAATTAACACTAAAGACAATTTAAAATGTCCTATAGGAACAAACATTTTATTCTCTCACCTCCTAATTCCATTCAGCTTCTCTGATGTGGAAAAAAAACATGAAAGACTGGTCAGATTTCTGACTTCTCTCATCATTAGATATTTGCACAATTTTTTCTGCTAGAAATACTCTTACTGAGTAATTCTATATATAGAAAGTCTCAGGGGGTAGAGTCCTCTTTGTGCTTCATCCTGTACAAGCACTAGACTGACCTGGAAAATTTGATCTAAATTTTTACATATTTACTCCTCTAAACAATATTTTCATTTCCTGCGGTGAAGACAAATGTAAACATGATGTAATGATACTTCACATTTGCTGTCTTGCAGAAACACTTCAGATAAAACAACAGCCACAAAGACATTATTACTTCCTCCAATCTCAGTGAGGGGAATATCAGAGTTTAACAGAGACTATACACACAAACATCATATCAGCCCCTGCAAAATCAAATCAAATATCTGTTTCTTGCTGAAATAGAAATCAGTGATGTCAATTTGAGGCATTTTCTTAGTCCCACTGGTGATAGCACACACAAGATTAGTAAACCTCCAGAAGCACTTTCTTCCAAGAAGCTTCGGCAGGATTCTTTTGGATCCCTGTTAGCAACAGAAAAACACTCTTCTGGGAAAAAAAAGTGCCTGCAGGAACAAGTAGTAGATAGCTTACACTTTTTAGGTGAATGGAAAGGCGGTGGGAAACAAGGTCTGGGATATTAAAAAATGAGTAAAACTCACTGAACAATTTGACCATTTTAATTTTCAATCAAAATGTATGTATTCTTGAAATATTACGTTTAATCAGCAAGCCAGAATTTCCCAAACTTCTTTCTTAATTTGGTAGCAAACAGTTTAAATGTAGCAAAATGAAGGAAAAGGAATAGAGAAGAGTTCCTTCAGCTTTGGTAACCAGGGAGACAGATATGAGACATACCAAATCTCAGAATTTTATTTATCTAACTCACAGTTATGGAGGAAGGTATGGAAAGAATATCTTCAACATAAGTTGAACAAATCTCAATCTGTATACTGAGAATTTTCATTTTGGTTTTGTAAATCTTGTATCTGTATGTGGAAAAAAAGGAGAACTGATGCTATTAGCTCTCCCTAATAGCATATAAACCATTGCCTAGTTTCAACTCCTTAAAAAAGTAAAACCAGTTCATTTCTTACAATGAATGCTGGAAAAAGGGTAGTGAATGACAAATCTAAGGTGCAGTCTCTGAATAAAAAACTCAGCAGATGTTCACTGTTAAGCTATACACCTGTTAGCAGTTGCCTTTCCAATCAACCTATTTGTTTCCAGTAGAGTGGTAAATCTTATGGACAAATCCATGAGAAATCAGGTTTCATTAGTTTTGCTTCTGAGAGAGTAACCTGTTAAAAGAATTCAGAGTGTAAACAGTATCTTGCCTTTCACTAGGTTGCCATATTAGCCACAAAAGACTAATAATGTGCATAGAGCAAGATGTAGGAACAGTTCCTAACTGGATTCAAAACGCTGTGCCCCACATGTTATTTTAGGCTACATCTGATTCATTTCATATGCAGCACAAAATACAGGGACAGAAACATTAAATGATTTGGGTTGGAAGGTCATAATGGCCTGGGACATCTTCCACTAGACCAGGTTGCTCTGACCCATCCTGACCCAACCTTACACACTTCCAGGAATGGGGCATGCACAGCTTTTCTGGGCAACCTGTGTTAGTGCCTCACCACCCTCACCCCAAAGATTTTCTTCCCGACAGCCATCTATACCTACCCTCCTTAAATTTAAAACTTGTTAGTTGTCCTGTCGCTACAGGCCTCAGTAGAAAAGTCCTTCCCCATCTTTCTTGTATGCCCACTCTAAGTACTGAAAGGCTGAAATAAAGTCTCCTCTGTGCCTTCTCTTCTCCAGACTGAACAGCCCCAACTCTCTCAGCCTGTCTTCATGAGAGAGGTGCTCTAGCCCTCTGATTAATTTAGTGGCCCTCCTCTAAATTGGACCTGCTCCAGCAGCTCCATGTTTTTTCTGTTCTGAGGACCCCAGAGCTGGATGTGGCACTCCAAGTGGGGTCTCGCCAGAGTGGAGTAGAGAGGCGAAATGCCCTCCTTTGACCTCCTGGCCAAGCTGGTTTTGATGCAGCCCAGGACACGGTTGGCTTTCTGGGCTGCAAACGCACATTGGCAGCACATGTCCAGTTTTTCAGGATGGACGGTATCTTATTTAACCCTTCGTAACTCCTCAAAAATCTACTCTGATTTGGGTTTCATGTAATTCTGGTAAGCCATGCATCCTGCTTCTGAGTAACTCCTACATTCTGTTAAGTTACACCGTAAGAATTCCCGCTTATCTTGCATGGGTATATTAATCCATTCTCTTAGGCTTGCAGTTACTGCAAGTTGCTGCCATTATGTTTGCACAATGTAATTTGATGTTTAAAATCTGAGTAAATTGCCCCAGCTGCTTATCAGAGACAGCAATGAGGGCCCACGTATTCATTTAGATGGCTAAGCCAGACTCAGTCTGTATGACGCCTATAATGTGACTCATCACCTACTCTCTCAAGAGAGGAATGACTACTGTGCTGCAAATGTAGCCAGGACCGCAGAATATTTCCTCTGTTGCCTTGCAACTGTCTATACTGATTCCTCAGAGGAGAAATAGATCTTTGCATTTGGATTCTGTTTATTGTAACTATCATTCTAACTGGCTGGACCTACTTGCATATAGTGAGCAATAAGGAAGGTAAGATGCAGTCGTAAGTTCTTGTATAACATTGCCTTACCTTTCCAAACACACTAATTTCAAAAGATCTCAGCATCTCCTACCTTTCCTACAATGCAGCTCAATATACATAGGTGGAAGTTTTATTTCACAAGTAAATAGATATTGAGCTGTTATTTCTAAGAACAGAAGGAAACTTAAAATGATTTATGCAGTAAGACTGGAGGACTGATTTGGTAAACCTTTGGGTTATTACAGACACAGATGAGCAAAAAAGATACAACACATTATCAAACAGCAGTTTAAAGGCATATATGAATTTAGGTGTAGCCTAAATAGAATCTTGAAGTCCAAGCAGAGATGAAGTGCATGCAGATAAAGCAGGCCATTCAAATTTTTGAAAGATGTCTTTCAAAGAGCTATATGATCACTTAATCGATTTTCTCTTCTTGAAAACTGTCTGCATCATCCATGCAATCTTCAAGATCATCGTATCTCTGCAAATGAAATAAAACTTGTATTATTTTATCAATGTTTAATAACTAGGTTATGTAAAGACTGCTTTTTCTTGTTCAACACATTACCAAACATGTCAATAACAATTTAGAATGATATCTGAAAGCTTGCCAAATGCAATTGTACTTCAAGTTGTCTTAAAATAGTTCATAAAGTGTTCCTGAATAATTCAAAGTACTTCAGTGTAAATAAACAGAATTCTAAAATATTCTGTGCCTTATGTGTTTCCAATCGTTCTAAGGTCAAGCTTGAGTTTGTTGTGTTGCTGCTTTCAAATGAAAGAGGAGTTTGCCCTCCACAGCCCAGAGATCATGCAGCAGCTGTCAAAAGGCTTCATGTCAAAAGTTGATACAAACTCTATGTGAGCACAGCAACATAGCCGTGTTTGAAAGATTGGGTCAGCAGAAACGGATAAACAGTTAAGCTGAGTTGTATTATACAAGGCCAATAAATCAGAACTGATCAATTAAATCAGACATTTTATCTCAATGTACTTTATCTGCTTGGAAAAGGATACAGGATATAATTCAGGCATACCTTCTGAATCCACCCACTCTCTTCCAAGTGGCTGAAAAGCCGTTCTACAGTGTCTTTGACTGGTTCATCCTCAACACCATCCAATTCGGCAACAGAGCTGCAATCCACATACAACTTGTACTTGAAGTGCTTCAAATTGTGATAAACTCTTGTACGATTTGCACACACCTTGCCAACCTTCAAAACCTAGGCCAGAATGAACAAATCACTCTCTCTGATAGAACTGATTATCTTGACAATATATAGAATTGGTAAGTTAGTCTAGTATGACTCTAGTCAGTCCAGGAAATTTTTCTGAATAATGAAATAAACAGAATGATGCTACATGCATAAAATCAGTACAAAACCATGTAGTTTTCACAGTCACAGCACAACGATTTTTGAGCAAGCAGGCAGCCAGCAAGTCTATGCAATGGCAGCTTATCAGTACGGTCTTCTTGCAAACACAACCATGTTTATAATTGGTGGTATCTTTCATATCTCCTGGTGGAACTTTGTTACAAAATCACTAACACTTTAGATAACCATCAAATTGTGAAAGCAGAGGAAGAGAAATTATTTGTTTACTTTTGCTTAATATGTAAGTACTTCCTAGGACATGAAATACCAGTTTTAACATTTTGTAGACTGATTAACATTCAATAATAAATACGTAAGTATACAAATAGACATACGCCTCAAAACATTTATTTAATAAATATAAGGAGGGGTGTTGAATTTCATAAAAATAAAATCTGAAAACTGAGGTTTTGTAGAATGCAGACGTTAATCTGTGAGAGGTACAGCTAGGCCACAATGCTGTAGAAATCAAAGCCTCTGCATCTCCCAGTTATTACCAGTCTTATTTCTAAGATTTCCATGCAGAATAGACAGAACTGTCTTATTTCACAGTTTTCTTTACAGCAGTATTTATAGGTAAACAAGTGGTAAATATGCTTGTTACTACATGGATTACAGTAAATTTGTTATCATCTATCAGCACTAAGATGAAAATACAGAGTGATACATTGGTTACAGAAATCTTTGGCCATCCTAAATCTTCACTAAGAGTATATGAAATTGGAGATGTGGGGAGGGAAAAAGAGTCTAACCCAAGGAGACAAAGCCTATTAGGTAAGAAATCCATGTCCGGCTGGTTTTTGGGGGTCAGGTTTTCTACACTCAAAAGCAACATAATTAATACAAACATAAAGAAATTCAGCTCCTGATACACACATGAAAAATAGATTTTATTTTTCTGAAAAAAAAAAAACCAAACCTCATCAGCTTATCCTTCAAGAACAGCACTGTTTTGGGCTGATGTCTTGTCACACTTTTGCAAGTAACAAGCACATAAATGGCTAAAGGTCAGAGTTCTTTGCATCAGTAATCCAAGCTGCAATTGTACAATTTAACATTACATACACACATATATATAAAAGAACCAACTGTGTTATAAGTTGAAAAATGATTTCTTCTGAGCCACAACAGTGATACCTTTTATTGCTGCCATTGGTAATAATCTGAATTATCTCAAATTACAAGAAGGTTAAGTTTTAACTGATGCTTACAACCTGCATTTTCAGTGAGCTTTTCCGAATGCACGACCAAATGTTTGCACCTGTGAGCAGTTCCCCAAAACACCTGACCTTAAATATATGAATATACTTAATTTCTGAAATATATTTTTATATAAAACCAGCAGCTCAATTGATATCAGCAGACATAATATCACTAAGTCAAAAGAGACACACTCATTTGTAAGAAATTTTGATCTGACCTACAATAAATGGTTATTAACTGCACTGTTAAACATCTTGAGATAAAAAATGGCTATTACTATATTGTAATTCTCTATTGATGATGCACACGTTGTACCTATATGCAGCTCCATTCCTACTATCCCTAAAAATGAAAAGCTAAGGCTTGTGTTTGGTGCTGCAGGTGCTTCTGAAGTGCAAGACCTACCAACCAATGCTTGATTTATTCAAATTTCCAGAATTATAATTTTAAATACTGAAACAATCAAGAACCGAGCTGTGGCATTTTGTAGAGCATTTCATAACTTTCCAAGTATCCCAAGCAATGAAGCGTGGCACTTGGAACATTATGTGATGCAAAATAGGAGATACCATCCTGCATCAAACTGATGGCCCAGTTCTTTACCCTGTGACAACAGCTAGCAGGATTTTGGGACCCACTAATAATTTCCCTTCAAAAATATCTTGTGGCAATGAGTTTCATAGCTTATTTATATGTGAGGTGTAAAGTACTGCCACATTGGGGAAATGCCAAATGCAAATAGCTAAATATCATATAAATGTAACTATGCATTGTGTTTTTAAAGTAAGAATGATAGTCTAAAAATAAAGAGCTATTTCAGAATGCAGTGTTGGAAAGAATCTCAGTACTGTACTCATTCTAATTTTTTCCTCTCGCAGTTCTCAGTCCCTCTGTCCTAATGCTTAACTTATCTACTCAAGCTGGCCCTATCAGCCAAAGTTGTGTTAAATCACTTTGTATGGAATGCAGGAGCATGGCCTGACAATAGCACAACATGTAGTGACTGAATCCATGTCCTCTAAGCATGTTTATAAACACAAGTAGAACACGAAAACTGAGAGAGAAAACAGTTTATAATCCAGGTGACACAGGAGCAAGGAAGTGTGGGGGACACCTATACCTCTAAACCGTTTGATTCCCCTGACCATGAAGAAATGAGAATTGGCACCTACACAGTGAACAATCACTGCAAGCCTAAGCAAAACTGGAACAGCTGTTTCTCTTCTCTTTCTATTGGCAAAGGAGAATACTTCAGAGATGAGAGAAAAGGAAAGTTTTATGCAGAAGAAGGGGGTTGGAGGTCTGTCTTTGTTCTCTCCACATCCACTTTTCTCGGGTATTTTCAAACAAATCTATAGAAGATAGTCCAGCTATGTGTTTCCATTCAATCTGATCTGCCATTGCTGAACTACCTTCTCTATCAATCAATCAAGTTTGTGAAATGCCAGATTTATGAGCCTTTTTTTTCTTCTTTCTTTTTCCTCCTTTCTTTTTTTCTCAACTGGCAGGACAAGTCGATCAATGCATTGTCATCAGAACTTTAAAGACAACTTGAGAACAGTAATTTTAGCAGTCTAAATTGCAGGTCACCATAAGAACACAAATGTTGCATTATAAAAACACTATAAAAAATTACTGGAAAGTGCTCAATTACTCTTCCTCCTGACTCTGTTTTACAGCCCCTGAACATGCACATAGCAGACATGCCCCCAGATGCTAGTGCACAGAGGGTAAAAAAAGCTCTCATTTTCTACTCCTAAGCTAAAGAGGACAAAAATGAACTAGCAAGTTAGTTAAATATTTCAAGTTTTTTCCAAAGTGAAAAACAGCCAACGCTTTATGTAGGACAACATTTGGTCAGCAGTGAGGGAATTGCTACTGTTATTTCCACAGTTAAGCTGGAAGCTGAAAAAAGATTAAATTCTTGTGCTGGTTTCCTTATTATTTCTGGTTAGGTAAGGCACACACTTCCCACGAAAAACTGAAATTTTTTAAATTAGTGATCTACATTTAGAGGCTTGTATGTAAGGAATAATGACTGTAGAACAGACTGCAGTATCAGTGCTAGGATGACTCCAGAGGACTCACTGTTTTCCTGCAATAAACAAGTGGCAAAACCTTGCTGGAAAAGCCTCGCTCTCTTGACTGTCATGCACATACATACTTTTCATAACAGAGTATCAGCAACTGCTGCTCAGAAAGGTCTGTAATCTAAGAAAAACTGGCACAGATATTCCTAGCTCCTGCATTACATGCAGAGCCCAAGATGATGACACAGTAATCACACTGACACCCCTCAAATCTCTAAGTTAGAAAATTTGAAAAAATCCAAACCATACAGACTTCCACTTCAGTACGGTGAACTCCTAGTCTGACAAGGGCTTCACTTTATTGTTGCAAAAGAAATCCCATTATACTTCATTATCAAATATACTGAATAAAAGACTTGTTCTGAAACTTTTTTCTTTTCAGCAAATACAGTGAGGAACTTCAGCTGTATTCAAAAATTCTTTTACACTCACAAAGAAAACAAAAATACCATCTGTGCCTCCTGAAAGGGAAGAAAGGCAAAACTTGGATATCAGCTTGGTAAACTATAGAAATATTTTACTCTTGACAAATTGTGTACTTTGAGTTTCTCATAACAGGTCATGAATTACATTACTTAAGGAAAGCATAACAATCATAACACATAGCTGTAAATTTGAAGGGATGATGTCTAAATATTAGAAACACCCAGGTTTTTAACATTTAAGGTCTTCCAAAGGCTCAGCTGTGAAATAAAATTATATTACGTTATTATTAGATTACTTTAGGTGACTCCTGAAGTTATCTAAATTGACTGCCTAATGCAACATCATGTAACAACAAGAAAGATGTCTTTCACTCCAAAAATATAATTTAATCCAAAATGTACTAGTAGAGACAACTACTAGAGTGAGAAAAAGATGCAAGTAGTTCTGATAATGCAGTAAGTCTTCTCAAAATGAGATCAGCAACTTCAAGCATCAGTGCAACTGAGATGCCAAGATACTCTGTCCTGAGTGAAAAGGTATGTGGGAAATAGCAGATGTGGAAAAAAATCTGAAGAATGAAGCAGTAAATTCTGACTAGGTCGCACTTGGACCATTAGGATGATCAGGGCACTATTTCAGTCAGTGTTTGGACCTAGACCAAACAAGAACTGTCGGAGTACACGTGGACGCTCCAAATGGAGGAATAGTAAGCACAGAATTAGCAAACCTAGTGACCTAATGTAGAACAAACCTTACTTGTCACAAAATAGAAAACACAATCATTCAAGGGAGATGATTATCCATCATACAGAAAGTTACTTTTACAATGTTTCTGAAAGCTAATCAATGCAAGATCCCTGCTGGAAAAGTCTTAAAGGCATTATAGGCACACACAAAGGTAAAGGGCTTTCAAGTAATCTACCTTCAATGAAAAGGCATTCTGATATTTAGAATATATGAAAATATGAGGAAAATTTAATTCTTGATTTCAAGTCTCAGACTCCTGCCATACAGACATAGGATCTTATCAAGATTAAAAAAAAAATCATAGTATTTCTTTGGTACTTGGTGAAACCCAGAAATGCCAGGCACGTGCAGAGCATCAGTCATGTAATTTCTTTACCACTGTTTTCCCTTCTTTAAGATACGCATCTGCTTCAGGATTTTCAATCTTCTATTAATTGTCACTGACAAAACAAAAAGCTATTTTAGAAATAACTGAGTACTCATATTAGTACTTTGGTTAGTATGTAAATCTTCACGTGTGCTGTCAGCCTCCTTAATACAGATTCATACTACTTCCCCAAGTACCACAAAAGACAAGCATGCTGAGTAGGTTGCCATGTACCTAGTTTTTCCTTCTTGCCCCGGATGGGACTCTGACTGTAGAGATTTGAAGCAGAGAAAAGAATAGAGGCACATGTCAATTCTGACTTAAGGGAAAGAGTTATCAATAACCCTGTCATATGTCTTAGAGCTCTTTATCCTTTATCATGAAGCCCAGCTCGTGGCTGGGTACACTTATTAGCATTTACATCTGCTGCATCCAGTACTAATATTAAGTGGTAAAAGTGGGGAGGAAATATTGCACAGATCATTGTGACACAGGCAAAAACAAATATCATAGAAAAAGATCTAATTTACTTTCTTGATAAAAGTTGGATTTATTTGACAATACTTTTCATTACCTCTTTCCCAACATATAAGAAAGAGGGAAGGGGACAGACAGAGGGGAATGCCTCCATTCATCTTGTCAAGTTTTATAGGAACTTCCTTCATAATTCCTAGCTAAATCCAAGACTATACTTCAAACTATAAAATGGTCCTCATATTTAAAAATTAATAGGGTTTAAACATGGAAATAAAATAGCCTAACACTTGCCTCTAGCATTATAGACATAGATGTGTTGATAGGTAAGTTTCTGTAATGCTACACAAAGCTTAAAAATAGAGTGCTTGTTTGAAGTTACCTGCTTGTCATTTGACATGAAGTCATCCACTTCCAAAGTTTTACTATTATAAAGCTGTCCAGAGAGCAACACATTAAACTTACAATACCGCTTCAATTCACAGGCCTGACAAAACATATTTTTTGGATTTTTCAAGATTATGCAAACATCTGGGTAACAATCCACACGCTCCTGAAAAATAGATTTCAAATAACATTAAAGAATCTCTGTAAAATGAATGATGCCTCAAATAGAGTGCTGAGTTCTCTGTACTCACAAAAAATTAGTCCAAGAAAAATGAAAGAGATTCAAATCTGCAATCTTTCATAATTCAGTTGTGAATACAGACCTCCTCCATCATCTTCCAACACTTCACTCAGTTCACTCTAGTTCATTAATTTTTCTTTTGGCTTCAGACCTAGAAAATGGCTTCTACATCCTGGCAGAACTTTTCCCATACCTTTTTTTTTTTTTAGGGGGTAGGGGTACAACTACATCCGTTGTTCTCCTTCAAATAAATACACTGTCTCTCTGCACTGGCCAAACCCCATTATTACAGTGATTATTAGATCACCACACCTATCACACTAATACTATTCTAGTAATATGCATATGATGACTCTGTTCCTGTATACTGACTTCATTTTTTGTAATAGTAGTAGAAGATTCATGAGCATACTAGTTTATCTTTTTGTGGGAGGAGGAAGAAATTTTGTTATAACATTTAGAAAGTCATAAAAAAATCCTCAAAAAGTCATCTGCTGAAGTTAACAGGAGAAGCATTCAGGTAGCTGAGAAGAGATTCCGTTCTGCTACCCGAATGTTTATCTGGTTATAAACACATAAAATATTTCTGATATTTATAAGCATTGAAACAAATTATGTAAGTTAAAGAACAATGAGTTTCTATTAAAAACTATATATATATAACTACAGCAATTGTTGTACCTTTACAGAGAATTACAGTGTTAAAAAAAAAAAAAGTCAGTAATGATATGATTTGGAAGCCACTTCACTGTTTAAAGAAAAATCTACATACCTTGTATCGATCTTTCCAGCGACTTCTAGCAATTAAGTTCTCAAGCCGAGGCTGAATGAAGCGGTCATCCAAATAATGAAGTGAGAGCAACATATCTTGTGCATACTTCTTTTGTCTTGTTCCATCTGCTCAGTGAGAATCATTACTAATTTGCTGACCAGCCTTTGTTATACAAGTTTCTTGAGATAAAATTTGCAAGGACACAATACTTCTCCATACTAAAAACTATGAATGATTTTAATAAATTATTACTCAATATATTTGCTACTGTTACCCATAAAAGTGATCCATGCATCTTTGATAAAGGAATATATTTAATTATTTTAAAAGTGATACGTGAATAAACTCTACAATCAAAGTTAAAGTGAAAAGTCGTTCATCCCAAATAGAGATCCATTGACTCAATCCCATTTAAAAGAATGGAAAAGGAGGAAGGAGGGGAGAAATGTCTTGCTTTTTGTCCAATCTATTTAAGTTGTCCTTAATGCATAAGGGGGGGTGGTTGCAATCCATGAAAACAAACTGCTCTGAGCTACTTCACAGCATGAATTTTGACAACTCTCTTTGTCACTTATAAAGAGCACAGAGAAACTGACCTTTACACTCCACCAGCACAGTCAGATGCCTTGAGTTAGGCAGCATAAGTACTTCCAAATACTTACTCAAGCAAAATAAATAAACAAGCATGAGGATGAGTAAAACTACAACTGTCCCACTACTGTTTCCCAAATACATGCTGGACCCCAGGAATTAAATAGGACTTTAATAGGTGCAGGCCAGTGCATACTGTTCTGGAACTTCAGCATGTACAGACATACAACTTAACACAGCTACTTTCTCATGTCTTCTAGCAATACTGTTATCAAAAAAAACCCCACCAAAACTGAGAAAGACCACTGTCTATCTAGCTTGTTATATAAAACCGTTAATTGTCATAGATTTCATAATTGCAATTAACTGTTTTTCCCTATTCACTTTACACACACACATTTACAGTATAAGCATAAAGAGGCTGTGCTAGACCATAAAAAAATCCCTCGCAATAAAAAGCAAGTCTGAACTCTAATACTATAGTAGCTACTCTTGATTCAAGCTAATGAAGAGATTCACTTTCATTAACTCAGAAAAATCCATCTACATTACAAAAATACTTTTTTGCAATGCTAGGTTATGTTCATACTATTCAATGTTCATGTACAACCTCCAGCTCCCCCGCAGAGCTCACCTACTTCCAGCACCTTGGCAGTAAGTTGCTACATTTTATAAAGCAGATACCATTTGAAATAGACAGAAGCTAATACAATATTAATCTGGCAAAGTTTACTTATTACTTTTCATCAGCTTGTTTTCACTTGGTGAAACAAAACAAACCAAACACCTGAAAGAACTAGCAGTGGTAGATAAAAGACATTTTTAACTCCAAGAATATACAGCCTTTATTCTGAGGTCTGTGGTATACTTCAGTTTCTCTGTTTCCTCTTAGTTCAGTTAACATCAAAACTTCCTCTCTTTGGGACTTTACTGACTCTTCCACAATCTGACTCGGACAGTTCTCTCCTTAATCCCATCTTTACAGTGCTTCTGAAACGACATGTAAGGTTGTCATTCAGCCCCACTAAGCCAAATGCTAAAAAGCACTTCCCCAGAAAGAACAAGACAAAAAGTACTGACTGCTGCTGAACTTTATTTATCTGAAAGCACAAATGTTAAAAAAAAAGAAAGGAAAAAAATCAGATAGCGAGTCATCGCCATAGCTAAAATTATTTATTACCAAATTCCTCAGAAAAAAAGCTATGGAGCACAAAAAATTTTGACAAATCAGCTGACCTTGCACTGTTTTCATTGAGATATCTGTTTTGAAACTAGTTTTGCTTTCATGCTGGGAAGATTACTACTGATCAGTAACACAGAAACACTTCCCTTCATCTCAAAAGGGCATTTTAAGCCTTAAGGCTTAAAAGAATTAAGTCTACACGTTTTTCCAAGATTAGTCTATCCTCCCCTCTCCTGCCAAAGTTACAGAGCAGGGAAACCACATGCAGATTTCAGGACTCAGCTCTATACTCTAATCAGGACAAACACCCCTCCCTAGAATAAATGGCTTTGTATAACTTTGAATGCACTATAATATTATTTAATGTGATGTACTTACCATATAATGAGCTCAGAAAAGTGTCATCAATTGCATTTATGAGGAAAGCCTTTACTATTCTTTTGAAGTGTACATAATGATCACAGCGAGGTACTGGGAAGAAAGCAGTATCATCAGAATTTACCCAAAAAAGGGAAAAAAAACCCCAGAAAAAAAAAGCAATATTAGAAGTCCTGTAAGAAGAATTCTTTTTTTCATTATTGTGAATTTAGAATTTTAAACTTATTTAAATATGGATTTAGAAACAATTGCAAGGTACAACATCCACACCCTTAAGATTCTGCCTTTAAAGTGTACTTCTCATCCCAATGATCCTACACAATTTTAGCATCCTCAAGTCACATGTGCTTTCAGCAAGAGCCCACAGAAAGAGCTACAAACACTAAAAGAAGTGAATAATTTGTTCTATGAACAGCAGGAAATAATGCAAAACAGAGAAGACCAGGCTTATGTTGTGGTTTTTTTGGTTGTTTTGGGGGGTTTTGTTGTTGTTGTTTTGGTTTTGTTTGTTTTATTTTTTCTATCTTTCTTTCAAATACACACAGTTCTGCCAAGGTCTTCATTGGGGAAGAAATACCACAAATGCTTGTGATCACCTACACTAGCACAGACTGCCCAATCAGTACATACCTGTTTCTGAACAACAAAATACGGAAGAAAATAACTAATATAAAGGTCTGTTTCAAATGTCTCTGCTCCATCCAGAAACTGGTTCTCATAAAAGAACAACTTGAAGAGTTTTCTTGCTCTATGCAGTTTGGCCAGTCTTGGCCAATGAAGTTAGAAACCCCTCTAGACCTCTACTGCCAAGTCTCACCACCACAGAATAAAAATACATAAAAAAAAAAAATCCCAAGTCCTAAACCCTCAAACTTCTGGCAAGAACAGAATTTGGACAGAACTAACATAGCTCTCTTAGTGTATATCACAAGATCACAGGATGGAGGATGATGCTTTCAGGTCTCCACAGGAATGACTGTTGCATCAGCAGCCTACTTCATCCTAAATCAGACCAACTTAAAAAATTCTGTGCAATAAGGTTTCCCTTCCTTCCCCTGAAATTATATTCTCTCTTTAATTAAGATACCAAAAGACTGCAATAGTTTACTGTGGAAATCAGACTGCTTCCACAATAAATTGAAGCCTTTAGGAATCCGCTTTCAAAATATCATATCCTATTACTTAGCATTTGTATTTAGCCCATTAATTTTTATAACAGTACTACAAGTAAGTTATACATACAGAATTACCACTAATTTTGGTCTTACACTGTGGGATGTAGTATGACAGCAACTCGCTATTGGATGTATTTAGTTGCTTTTGTTGTGGCTGATTTTCACTCTTTACATCCTCTGTGTTGTTGTCATCATCATTATCATCATCTTCATCTTCCTCTACTATAAAATCTTTCATGCTGCCACTGTCAGTTTCACTACCTTCTGTTGGTGTGAGGGTCAAGTGACAAAGCGGTTCCTCTTCTATTTCTGCTTCGCTATTAGAATCCTAATTAAATTTTAAAAGGTACTTCAAACAACAAGAATTTTCAGTATTTGCTCTGACAAAATACTACGTATACTAGCTTTTTGACCATCTCATTACACTATTTGTTCACAATTTGTAACGATTAAGCAGGCACACATTTCCAAAAAATACATCATTCTGTACTAGATGACAATTACTTTCAGATTTAAATTAGCCATCTCCATGTACCTCTCTTCAGTCTATCTGTAGGAATTAACCTGAGATCTCCAAGTTACTTTAGCAGGTATTCTGCTTCCTGATAAAAAGCATCTGACAGCTTTTCAGCAGTCAATATTGTTATCTAGTTAATGTGACTATTAAAATGTGACAGAACTACTGATTTGTCATGCATTCAAAACCAAAAAATCCCACTGATTTTTATCTATTAGTCTTCGCCTTTCCTCACATTAAATATTTTCTCCAATTAAATTTCAAAGATAAAACCCAGACCTCCCAATTTGCACTGCTGCAAGATCTCCGAGTGGCACTTTTTCTTGCAAGTTCTTTCAATTTTGCAAACATTTTCTGTTTCCTACTAGTAGAAACATTCTCTGTAGGGCACGTTTTATCAGGCTGCTGTTCTTCGGAACTGTCATCCTCATCCATTATACAGCGGCGTTTAGCAAAAACTTTTCTAACCAGTATGTCACTGTCCTGACTTTCATCACTGTCATACAAGACAGAGGTGTTCGACCTCTTACGCTTCCCAGGCACAATGCACTCATCCTCCCCATCATCTGTTCCTTCTGCATTGTGTCCTTTTTCTTCCCGATCTGAAAGACTGCTCTTAATGAAAGTTTCATCCTTTTCATCTATTTCACTTTCTGATGTGGTAGGCTCCTCCTCCTCAGACGTAGTTGAGGATTCGTCACTGCTGTCAAGTAGTATGAGTTCCCTTTTAGTACGCCTCCAGTCGACGCGGGATTTGGAAGACGACAGCTCTTTTCCTGCTGCCTTATTTCTTGTTTCGTATCTTCTGACAGGTGCTTTTATCTCCATCGGGAGGCTGTGGCAACACACCAAAATACAAACCGGTAAGACAAAGCACTCATTACATTATGCCATTAAAAAAAAAAAAAAGAGTACATAAGCATACATATTTTGTTACATACACTTATGACTTGACAGTACCATTAAGAGACACGCGTGGAAACCAGGATCAAACAAAAATAAGCCTGCACAGTAACTTCTGAAGGCGATACACCTTACTGAAAACATGCAAAAGAGCAGAAGCGCCCGCACCCAGCGGCGCTTCTGGATAAACTGAAGAACTCAGCGCAGCTACCGGTCCCACTGTCCTCTCCCAACCCTGGAAAGCCTCCAGCTCCGTTCTGGACTTGCTCTGATGGGACCGATCGCTCGGGACCAGCGCCTTCAGGGCCCACTGCGGAGCGGCCCGTGCCTACAGCTGCTGCCCCTTACCCTGCCAGCCCCGCAGGAAGGCCTGAGGGGACCCGCGCCGTGCCGAGCTGTGCCGGCCCCGCTCCACAACCCGGGACAGACCGGGACAGGACGGGCCGAACGCGAACGCACCGTCAGCTCGCGCGCCGCCGTTACCGTGTTACCGCGTCCCCGTGACCGCTTCCCGCCGCCCGGCCCCTCTCGGCCGCTGAGCGGAGGCTCCGCCCCCCTTCCACGGCCTCGGGCATCGCGATTGGCCACCGCCCCCTGTCACTCAGCCTGTCGCTGTGTTTACGGAAGTGCTGTCAGGCCGCAGCGGGGGTTGGTGCGTAGCGGTTGGAGAGGTAGAGGTGTCGTGTTCGAGTCCCGCCTTGGCAGGTCTCAGGCAGCAATGGCGTGAGGTGGTTTAGTTGCTTTTGTCCGGCCTAGATACATTCCTGAGGAAAATCTGTGTGGGCTCGTGAGGTACGGCACCTTCCCAAAAGGGCTGACGGGGACCACCGCTGGTCTGGTGTGAGGCGCACCCCGCCACAGCTCTGCCGGCGCTCCGCTTCTTTGCAGCCCTGGGAACAAACTCGGTGGATTAATGAGGAGCGGCTGAGGGAGCTGGGGATGTTTAGCCTGGAGAAAAGGGGGCTCATGGGGGAGCCTTATCGCTCTCCACAACTACCTGAAAGGAGCTTGTAGCCAGGTGGGGGTCCGTCTCTTCTCCAAGACAAGTGACAGGACGAGAGGAAATGGCCTGAAGTTGTGCCAGGGGAGGTTTAGATTGGATCCTAGGAAGTATTTCTTCATTGCAAGGGTTGTCAAGCATTATAACAGTCTGCCCAGGGAAGTGATTGAATCACCATCCCTAGAAGTATTCAAAAAAACCGTGTGGATATGGCACTTGAGGGCATGGTTTAGTAATGAATATGGTGGTGGTACTGGGCTAATGCTTGGGCTTGATGATCTGAAAGGTCTTCTCCAAACTTAATGATTCAGTGATTCTGTGAATAATGAGCTTCTGCTGTTGTTCTGCTTAAGATGTCTGTTGAATAGGATGCTGGATTCTGTTCAGAGCTAATATGCTTACAAATACATTTTAATAACAAGATGTCTTAAATTTTCTCTGCTTTGCTTAGTCTGTGGCAGAAAACTATTGCTACCTTGGAACTCATTCTGCTGACATTTTTTGTACATTTTTAGCAAGATCTTGAAATTGTTTCCATGTATTTCTTAAAAAATAACTGGCAATAAAACTACAATGAGAGGAAATCCTCTCATTTCTCATCTTATTTGCATAGCACTGCTATGACTGACATGGCAAAGAGGTGTGGACAGGTGTTTATATACGCGGTGTGTCGAATTCCCAACAAAATGTTTATATTGCAAGGATTATAATGATTATAATTTAAGGATTATATTGCATTAAGGGATTTATAGTCCTGGGCTGACATTTGTTTTAATTGCTTTAAATTTAAAGTCAGTACATGAATTTTCAAATAAATAAACGGATCAGAGTTTTCCCATGATTTAATATTTCCTCCAAAGTGTGGTGGAAGTTAACATTTCAGGGTACTGCTCTTCATTGCGCGTCTTGCTTCCAACGTCGCCACCTTGTGACAAAAGGGGTGAAGGAAACCTAGTAGTTTTACTCATGTAGTACATGAGACGGAAATAAGGTAGCTACAATAAAAATATTGTATGTAACTGAAGAAAATATATAGTAAATAAATTTTTTTTACTTGAATGACATGAAGAGTTTTAGTTATGAATACTGGCTTCTGAAGGACAGCAAAGAAGTTTTTATTATTCACAGTGCTGAAAATCTTATATCCTGATTTTATGGATGATTTTTCAGGGTAGTCTACAGCGTGAGGTCATGTGTGCCCTTAGATTTCAGTAGCAGACTTCCAGTCAAGAGACATGAGTTTTCCAAACAGGCCAGTTTTCCTCAAAGCTCCTCTGTAAATTTCTTAATATGTTCGCTACACATTAAGGAAACTCATTTGTCACATAAAAAATAAACTCTGTTGATTTTCATGTGTACCAAAGCCTTTTTGTGGAGCTTGTGCAATTACTATGCCATTTGATGGTGATAACATCTCGCCAGTACTGAGTTTTCTATTTTACTAGGGTATCCCAGTCTCCTATGATTTTAGATAACAGAGAAATTAATATGTTGGAAACTTTATTTTAAGTAGCAGCTCCCACTAGCCCCTTCTGTTCCTGGCTGCTTTAGCTGCTGAGTATTTGCTATGCTGCTTTCCAACTGGTCTGTTAGTTGTCTGGTTGTTGCTATGTTCACACTGCAGTTTCTCTGAAGCTTGAGCTCTTCTGGGGTTCAGTGATGTACAGGATTATATGAACATTCCTTCCATAAAACAGACCCTTCCTGCTTGGGGTATTCTCCTTTCCCTAAGGTAAGCAATGGGAAGCTCAGAGCCCACAGTTCCCAGGGACTGTTTCCTGCAGCAGTGCAGCATTTGCAAACACTCTATGACTCCCAGGGATATTGAGCACTAGGCTGGCTCATGCCCAAATAGTAGTGCTGAATTTACCCCAGCTGGGAAAAAGAAAAAAAACTAAAACAAACAACTCAAAAAGCTCTTTCTAATTTTTAAACTTCAGAGGAGGTCTAGGCCTGTCTGGAACTGGCACAGCCACGAAGGTGGCTCTCGCTCTGACAGATTGCAACAACGCAACAGCTCATTAGAGCAGAAATGGCAAGTCACCTCTGAGTTTGCCAATAAGTGATTTAGCCAACAGAAGCCATGACAATGAGCTTTAATGTTTTCAAAATAAATTTTCAGCATTGCAGTTCCTTAGAAGGGACTTTTTACTGGTCACCAGCTTACGTCACCAGGGACTCCCCATCCCTACACCAGACACACTGCTCAGTCCATTTATGTCATACATTAAGTAGAGACATAAATTAACCACACAGTAACAGTTTTATCACCAGAAAGAGCTGCTAGGACTAATAGGGAGGCCCCCAAGTAAGACTATGCCTAAAGTGTAGAAATTGCATACAGGTTATCTTCTTTTAATTTTGTTCTTTCTCTTATTTTTTCTTTCTGTCTTTGTTGAACACAACCTTATATATGGTATATGAAGAGAATATTACAGAGGACTTGTTATCTTGCATTTCTCTGCTTCCTATTTCTTGTCAGTGGAAGACCATTTCCCTAATTTTATGGAGAATCCTGGGAAATGGTAAGCCTAGCCAGAAGCCCTGGGAGCTGCTGGCTGACTTTGACATGATTCGTGTCTTTTTTTTTTTTTGCTATTGCTCTGTAGTTAGTAGCAACAGAGAAATTGACCTTAATAGTTATAATTTCTTAACAGAAAGTATTTTAATATTCTATATCAATGCCTATTTTAAAGAATGTACATCTCAATTTAGGAGAAAAATGTTTCAAAAAAATTAAAAAGTTTTCTAGAGCATAGAGTAATTCTAAATATTCTAATAATTTAGAGTATTCAAATAGTAATTCTAATATTACTACTAGAATAATAATTCTAAATACCTTCCCTCCTCACCCTTTTTTTGCTAATAGTGTTTAGCAAATGTTAATATGTGTTTAACATAGAGTGTTTGTTAAAACTTTTCTCAGAGACTGGAATTCATTTCTGCACAGAAGCCTTTTTAAGGAATTAAATGGGGTTTGTGAGAACCTTAATCCTGATTCTGGCTCTTTGTGTAGTGTTGAATTTCATAGAAAGAGTGAGTTTCAGACAAAAGAGACCAACGGAGTTAACATTTAATCTCTTTTTGAAACACTGAGAGCTTTCTGGTCTCGGGAGATTCTGAAATGATGCTCCATATACAAAAGTTTTCTTTGTGTGTCTTGTAGGCTGGATCACGATTGCTAGATGACTTGCATGTTTATTTTGTCAACAGTGCCTTTGTAAGGTCTTGTCATACCTGCTATTTGAAAGTCCTAGTAATTGATAAAATACGTAGTTTACCTTGCCACCTGTGTGTGAGATTAAATTTTATCTTTGCTACCTGGACTATATACAGTCTAATAGTAGGACAGTACAAGGCTGAAAGTACAAACGTGGGTAGAGCCCTTCCCAAATCTTCATTCGCGAAGCCTAGCCATGATGATGACAAGGCTGAATGTAGTTAAGGTTCATTATCACTTTTTGAACATCACCTGTATTTTGATCCAGTTCCACTCCAGTCAAACTCAGTTTATTCTATTTTCACTGCCATAAGATATAAAAAATACCTTGGTCTTCCAAAGTCACAGAATATGAATTGCATTTGTGTTGAAGTGAGAGACTGAGGAGTAAATAGCATTTGATTTTTATCTGATGCTGGTATAAGGCTGAGGCATTCCTATACAATCCTGGAAAGGTTCTGTTTGATGTCGAGGTTTAGGTATCACTGGACATAACTTGACGATATTGATGTGCTAAATGTTGAGCAAGAGCAGTGCAAGGCATACTTGCTAGCATCCACCAGAACTGTGTAATGAAGGTCAGGATTTTTTGTACATTGAGGGGACTTGAGGGGAGTGGCATTTTATCCTACTTTTAGAGTTTTTCACCTTAATTTTGATATTTCTTGAAGAAGTTATTTTTATCTTTTAGGGTAGTTTCTTTTTTCTTTGTCACAAACCACATAAAATCCCTTGGCAGCAGTTCTCTAGCTGGACAATCTTTTGCCAGGAGGAATGTGATGAGTCATGATGTGTGACCAGAATAGCTGTGCTGTTAAAATTGCCAAGAGTAGATGGAGTTGCAGCCATAAAACTGTGCTTAGGTACTCTAATGTATTTGATCTGGGACAGCAGAAACAAGGGATGCTTAGAATGAAGTGTAGTGTCAGAAGTGTTTATCT